GGGGGGAAATCTTGGGAATTTGGATGGAAATTCTGGGAATTTGGGGGGAAATCCTGGGAATTTTGGGGGAAATCCTGTGAATTTGGGGGAAAACTTGGGAATTTGGGGGGAAAACTTGGGAATTTGGGGGGGAATGGATGGGTCTGGGGAGAAATTCTGGGAATTCTGGGGGAGATCCTGGGAATTTGGGGGGAAATCCCGGGAATTCCGGAGGGGGAGGGGGAGTTTGGAGGGGTTTGGGGGGGGGGGTTGGGAATTTGGGGGGAAATCTTGGGAATTTGGATGGAAATTCTGGGAATTTGGGGGAAAATCCTGGGAATTTGGGGGGGAATGGATGGGTCTGGGGAGAAATTCTGGGAATTTGGGGGGAAATCCTGGGAATTTTGAGGGGAAGTGAGAAAATTGATGGATTTGGGAAGGGTTTGGGAGAGAATTCCCGGGAATTCAGGTGAAAAATGATTGGGACAGCACTTTAGGGAAGAGGTTTTGGGGAGAAATCCCCAAATTTTGGGAATTTGGATGGAAATCCCAAGAATTCAGAGGGAAAAATCTTCAAATTTGGGAAGTTTCCTTAAAAATTGGGAATTTTCCTGAAGGATTGGGAGTTTTCCATAAAAAAGGGGCCAAATTCCCTTAAAAAAAAAGGCACTTTCCCTAAAAAATCCCATTTTCCAATGGCAAAAATCCCGTTTTTCCCATCCCAAGTCCCATTTTCCCAATAAAAATCCCTTTTTCCTTCAAAAAGCCCCATTTCCCCCCAAAATAAATCCCTCTTCCCATGAGAATTCCCATTTTTTTCCAGGAGAATTCCCATTTTTCCATGAAAATTCCCATTTTTTCCAGGAGAATTCCCATTTTTCCATGAAAATTCCCGATTTTTCCAGGAGAATTCCCATTTTTCCCATGAGAATTCCCATTTTTCCAGGAGAATTCCCATTTTTCCGTGAGAATTCCCAATTTTTCCATGAGAATTCCCATTTTTCCATGAAAATTCCCATTTTCTCCATGAAAATTCCCATTTTTTCCATGAAAATTCCCATTTTTCCAGGAGAATTCCCGTTTTCCCATGAGAATTCCCGATTTTTCCAGGAGAATTCCCATTTTTCCATGAAAATTCCCATTTTTCCATGAGAATTCCCATTTTTCCATGAGAATTCCCATTTTTCCATGAAAATTCCCATTTTTCCAGGATAATTCCCATTTTTCCATTAAAATTCCCATTTTTCCATGAGAATTCCCATTTTTCCATGAGAATTCCCATTTTTCCATGAGAATTCCCATTTTTCCATGAAAATTCCCAATTTTCCCAGGAGAATTCCCGATTTTCCCATGAGAATTCCCATTTTCCCATGAGAATTCCCATTTTTCCCAGGAGAATTCCCATTTTCTCCATGAAAATTCCCAATTTTCCCAGGAGAATTCCCATTTTTTCCAGGAGAATTCCCATTTTTCCATGAAAATTCCCATTTTTCCATGAGAATTCCCGATTTTCCGTGAGAATTCCCAATTTTTTCCAGGATAATTCCCATTTTTCCAGGAGAATTCCCGTTTTTTCCATGAGAATTCACAATTTTCCCATGAGAATTCCCATTTTCCCATGAGAATTCCCGATTTTTCCATGAGAATTCCCGATTTTCCCACTCACCCCGTCGTGCACCAGCGCCTTCCAGGAGTGCTCGAGCTTCTTCACGAACCTGCAGGGAGGGAACGGAGCGGGAATTCCCACAGAATTCCCA